TTTTTTTAAATCCCTGTGAAAGGCCGCACGCATGTACTTATCTTTAGCCATTTGGGAGCCACTCTTCACTGGTTCGGAGTGTCCAAGCAGAATCTCTGCTGCTGGGTCTCTGGATGTGGAAACTGCTTCCTGAGTGCGCACACAGCACAGCTGTTTGCCTTCTTCACTGTGAACCTGGCGTGGCTGAAGAGCTGCAGTCTCCCAGCCGCTGCTGCTCTGGCACTCTTCGCTTCTTCCAAACCGTCTCCCTCTCCCCCTGCCACTCAGTTCGATTCCTCAACTTTGCCTTGTTCAGTGCTCCTAGATATTCATATACAATCAAATCACTTGTTTTTCCTGGTCTTTGTTGTAAGAGGGATATAGGAAGTGTCTAACTATACCACCATCTTGGCCCTGCGTCTCAGATACATATCACAGGTTAATGAATCTTCCTCCAATCCTGATGCCGCGTTCTTCATATAGCCCAACTTCTAGGATTATTTGCTCAGCATACAAATTGAATATGTATGGTGAAAGGATACAACTCTGACGCATGCCTTTCCTGATTTTTAGCCACGCAGTATCCCCTTGCTCTTGTCAAACGACTGCCTCTTGGTCTATGTACAGGTTCCTCATAAGTACAATTAAGTGTTCTGGAATTCCCATTCTTTGCAATATTATCCATAATTTGTTATGATACCCACAGTCAAATGCTTTTGCATAGTCTGTAAAACACAGGTAAAATCTTTGATATTCTCTGCTTTCATCTGACATCAGCAATGACATCCCTTGTTCCACTTCCTCTTCTAGATCTGGCTTGAATTTCTGGCAGTTACCTGTTGATATATTGCTGCAACTGTTTTTGAATTATTTTCAACAATATTTTACTTGTGTATGATATTGTTTGATATTTTCTGCATTCTGTTAGATCTTTGGAATGGGCATGAATATGGATTTCTTTCAGTCAGTTGGTCAGGGAGCTGTCTTCCAAGTTTCTTGGCATAAACCAGTGAGCACTTCCACGGTTGCATCTGTTTGTTGAAACATCTCAGTTGGTATTCTGTCAATTTCCTGGAGCCTTGTTTTTTTGCCAATGCCTTCAGTGCAGCTTGGATGTCTTCCTTCAGTACCATCAGCTCTTGATCATACTACCTCCTGAAATGGGTCAACATCAACTGATTCTTTTTGGTACAATGACTCTGTGTATTCCTTCCATCTTCTTTTGATGCTTCCTGCCTTGTTCAATATTTTGCCCGTAGAATCCTTCAATATTGCAACTCGAGGCTTGAATTTTTTCTTCAGTTCTTTCAGTTTGAGAAATACCAAGTGTGTTCTTCCTTTTTGGTTTTCTAACTCCAGGTCTTTGCGCATTTCATTATAATACTTTGTCTTTTCCAGCTGCCCTTTAAAATCTTCTGTTCAGCTCTTTTACTTCATTATTTCTTCCTTTTGCTTTAGCTACTTTACGTTCAAGAGCAAGTTTCAGAGTCTCTCCTGACATCCATATTTTTTCTTTCCTGTATTTTTAATGACCTCTTGCTTTATTTATGATGTCCTTGATATCATCCCACAACTCGTCTGGTCTTTGGTCATTAGTGTTCAGTGTGTCAAATCTATTCTTGAGATGGTCTCTAAATTCAGGTGGGATATACTCAACGTCATACTTTGGCTCTCATGGACTTGTTCTACTTTTTTTCAGCTTCAACTTGAACCTGCATATGAGCAATTTATGGTCTGTTCCACAGTTAGCCCTGGCCTTGTTCTGACTAATAATACTGAACTTCTCCACTGTCTCTTTCCACAGATGTAGTTGATTTGATTCCTGTGTATTCCATCTGGCAAGGTCCACGAGTATAGTTGCCATTTACGTTGTTGAAAAAAGGTTATCTGCAATGAGTAAGTCCTGCAAAATTCTATCATGCAATCTCTGGTGTCATTTCTATCACCAAGGCCACATTTTCCAACTACTGATCCTTCTTTGTTTCCAGCTTTCACATTCCCATCACCGGTAATTATCAATGCATCTTGATAGTATGTTCAATCAATTTCAGACTGCAGAAGTTGGTAAAAATCTTCAGTTTCTTCATCTTTGGACTTAGTGGTTGGTGCATAAATTTAAATAATAGTCGTATTAACTGGTCTTCCTTGTAGGTGACAGCATCGTACTTCAGGATGGATGTTGAAATATTATTTTTGACAATGAATCCAATGCCACTTCTCTTCAATTTGTCATTCCTGGCATAGTAGGCCATATGACTGTCCAATTCAATATGGCCAATACCAGTTCATTTCAGCTCACTAATGCCTAGGATATTGATCTTTATGTGTTCTATTTCATTTTTTGACTTCTAATTTTCCTAGATTCAAACTTTGTACATTCCATGTTCTGATTACTGATGGATGTTTGCAGCTGCTGCTTCTCATTTTGAGTCATGCCATAGCAGCAAGTTAAGGTCCCGAAAGCTTGACTCCATCCATGCCACTCAGGTTGACTCTACTTTGAGGAGGCAGCTCTTCTTCAGTCATATTTTGAGTGCCTTCCAACCTAAGGGGTTTATCTTCCAACACTGCATCAGACAGTGTTCTGCTGCTGTTGATAAGGTTTTCACTGGCCAATTTTTTCAGAAGTAGACCACCAGGCCCTTCTTCCTAGTCTATCTTAGTCTGGAAGCTCAGCTGAAACCTGTCCACCCTGCATGACCCTGCTGATATCTGAAATACTGGCAGCATAGCTTTCAGCATCACAACACACAAGTTCCCACAGTACGACAAACTGGCCGAAGAGTTTTTAATCTAGTGCCTGGCTTATAGGAAGCTCTTGTTTTACGAACTTTTTTTGCTTCTGTCCCTAGAGCAGAGGGTCTAAATAAGCGATGAGGTGCAGGGGGCTTTTTGAAGCACAATGGACTTGATCCAGTCAGTCCCAGGAGCCACTGCAGGGGACACTGGGAATGAGGATTTTTCAGGATGTTTCCCAACCAGTGGCCTCACTGCTGTAAAACTGAGACCTTTGTTTTCACCCCAGGGCAAATTGAGGCCCCCAAGCACAAGGTTCATTCTGTGCCTTGGGGGGAAAATGTTCACAAGGTCAACACTTGGGATATCTGTGACAAACTGACCTTTGGGCCCAAGCAAAATGAGTTACACTCATTCATTTCAGTCATTGAGGCCAACTCAGTGCCAGGCCTGTGCCGGGCCCTACGGACATAGAGAAGACACAGGCTCTACCTTTGGGGAACTCCTAGACTTGCAGGGGGGATGTAAATAAGGACAGTACGGTATGTGGCAATGGAGCTGAAGAGATGACAGCAGGTAACATTTATTCTTATCGTTCAGTGCACACTTCATAACAATACCAAGCTGGTACATTAGAAGACTATGCTGCAAGTCAGAAAGCTAACAGAGTAGACTTCAAAGAGTAAGGATCTGTGTCATATGACAAGAAGTTAGGAGGTCTGGGGAGGTCAGTCCAGGGCTACAGTGGCAGCCAAACACATCCTCCTGCTCCGCCATCCTTACCATGTGGCTCTTGTGCTCATGGCACCTCTGGGCACTGCTTCTTAACTCAGGAAGAAGGAACCAAGGCCAGATGGCACATCAGCCGTTTACCCAGAAGCCCTTCAGTCAGAACTGAATCCCCTAACTGCAGGAGAACCTGGGAAGATGATTTTTTAGCTGGGCACATCACTGAGCAAAAGCAGGGCTGAGCAGGCAGCAGAGCCAAAGTTCAAATCCAGGCCATCTTCCTTCCAATATCCTGCCTCCAAAGAAGCTAATGCCAACACTGTCACTGCCCAAGTCTTGGAGCTGGTGTGTGTGAGATGGGTGGGAACAGCCCTGTCTACTGTTTTAACACCTAGTCATTTTCAAGCTTTCTGGGCTACACCAATAGGCCTCTTTCTGGGCCTGGTTTCTGCACCGTGTGGGGCTGCCTAGTGCTTTTGCCAAAGGAGATAGAATCACGTTCTCTCTAAACCCGCCCAGGTTTGAGGGGCAGCAGGAGGCCCGGAAAGCAGCTGGCCACACCAACACAGCTCTCTGCTCTGAGGGACGTAGGGACTCACTGCAGGTAGGGCCACCTCTTCTCAAGAATACAGGAAAGGAGAGGGGTGAAGACACACAGGCCCCATCTTAGGCTCCAGGAAGAGGAATTACTGAAGATGGGATTGATCACAGAGAGGAGTTTCAGAAGACTGGGAAATGTAACAGCAACTGGAATTTGGGTTGACACTAGGTAAACTTCTAGAATGTGGTTTCAGAGGAGCAGGGAGAATCAGAATCTATTAAGGAATAAGCAGAAGTGCACCCTGTCAGTGCCCTACCCGTTCTCCCTCTAGGAGGCACTGGTGAGGGAGGGGAACCAACGCTCTCTTCAGGCCCACCTCCACCAGTGGCGCTGACCACTCCCCTACTTCAGGACTCTCTTGCAAGACCATACCTGACCCCTGGTTAATGGGAAGAGGGAAGTAGAAATGACAAGTCCTGCCCCAGCTAGGTTCCAAAGCAGGTTAGGCTCAGTGCTGGGGCTAACTCTCCCTCGTGGCTGGACTCCCCTAGTGCACATGGGCCCAGCTCACCTTCTAATCCTGCTGCCCCTGGCAGCAAGGTGCTGGCCTAAGTCACCGGCACCAACGCCAAGTCTGCCACACAGCACAGGGGCTGGTGTGGCATTTCCCTCCATAGACCCCTCCAAGTCCCTGTGCCGGGGGAAGCCCAGGCCCCCTGCCACGGCTCCTTTTAGGACATGGGAGTCAGTGCTCAGGCCACCCGGGAAAACAAGTTAAGACAGCCTCACAGACCACTGCAACTCACCGCTTCTCTGCTGCCTGCTGGAGCTGGGTCCCTGTGTGGGGTGCCTGGGCCTCCCAGGGGGCCCAGAGGAGCAGAGCACCAACCAGGAGGCGAGAGAGGCAATTCTGCTTGGCGTAAGGCCAGGCTGCACCCGTCACACCTCTCATGTCACAACCCTTACTGTCAATCAGGCAACCTTCTCCCCTGAGAGCAGAAAGCTGCACAGGCCTTTATTTACACACAGCTCCCTAGCTGTCCTGTCTTCCGGGGTGACTGGCGTGGCTCCCAGGCCCTGGCAGTTGAGGCAATGGTGAGGGTGAGGGGAGCTGCCACAGGGGACAGCACACAGCCCAGGCAGTTAGTGTTCAAGCTTTGGGAACTCTTAGCTGGAGAGGCAGTCACTCGCAGACACGTTTAGGGGGCCTCAGGCAACCCAGTCACGTGGGCCTCACCAAAGAGGAGGATGGTGGGTCAAGGGAACTCAGGCTGGTCCTTCAGGGCCTGGACCCCCAGCATCATGCACAATTTCTCCAAAAAGGCTATCTCCAAACTCCAGTGGGGTGGAGGGTGGTGGCACTGGAGAAGCCCTACCTGGCTTCTAGTTGGTGGCCAGGCTGGCAAGGGGAAGGTCAGTCGTCTGTTTCCTGCTTGATGTCCTCAATGGGGACAGGCAGCTTGGGACTAGCAGCCTTGTCGGGCGTGGCCGTGTCCAGGTGCTCCTCCTTCACCTGTGCAGCGACGACTCCAAAAGAAGGGGGGTAGGGAGGACAGAGTGAGTGTGGTGTTGTGGTAGGAGGAGCGGGGGCCTTGGGTTTGGGGCAGGGAGATCCCTCACCCTCCGGCTGAGGGGCAGCAGCAGAGAAGGCGCAGGGCCCTGGTCACGCCCCAGCCAGTCTGCCACCCAACCTGCCAAGCACTGGTGTGGGGGCACAGGGGGTCAGAGACAGACAAGGGCCAAGGAGCCAGGGTGGAGACTCAGCTCCACTTAGAGCTGGGGGTGGGTGATGTTAGAAGGGCCGCCTGGTGCCCAGAAAATTCCCTTCAAACTGACCCTACTTTTTCTGTGCTCAGGTAGGGAAGGACAGGAGCCGCCTATGAGAGCTGGAGCCACCCTGCCTCGGTCCCACGAGCAGTGCTTACTCTCATCAGGAACGGGCTCAGACGAGATCTTCCCTGCGGCCTGCAGGTCGTCCTCCAGCAGGGGCTTCTTGGATGCCTGTCTGAGGGGCCTGGTCTTGGTTGGCGGTATTCTTTTCCCTTTGAATAAAAATGGAATCAAAGCCAGCATTAGGGTTGTATGCGAGGCCTGGAGGGCTGGCTAAGTGTCTTCCAGTGCTCAGGCAGAGTGGCAGGGTGGGGAGAGCGCCACTCTGACGTTACCCCTTATTGACTGTGTACTCTTGGCAAGGATCATAAAGAAACTGAGGCTCAGAGGGGCTCTCTCCAGCAGAGGATGAACAACACCATCTCCCCAGACGACTGGCATTTCTTCATCTGTAAAAGGTAATGTTCCTAGCCCATGGGTCTGACTGTAGCAGGGCCTCCTTCTGCTGGCACCCTACACTCTCACAGTCAGAACCCTGCCCAGGGACCTCCTCCTTCTCTCCATGGTACCACGTCACGAGCACACCTGAAGGACGGCTTTGCCTCTCCCATGCTTTGCCCCTCCCCAGGCTGCTGCCTGTCTCTTTTCCTCAGCATCCTGGCCAGTACCAGAGACAGAAGACCCCTATTTTATGATCTGGGTCTCCAAAGACACAGGCGGGGCCCAAGAGCAAAGGAGAGGAGACGGAGAAGGACGTGAAGTGAGCTGACGCAGTAGGACACATCTCAGGGTGGTCCTGGGGGGCTGGCTGCCGCTCCATGCCCAGCTATCCCCCAGGTCCCACATCAGCCTGGCTGCAGTGAAGCATCACTTACTTTTCTTTCCAAACTGTTTCTTTTTCTTCTTCGTGGCCTCTTTGGCCTTCAGAGGTGTGGTTGGCTCTGTTGTTGCAAGACAAGAGCAAAGAAATGAGAAGAGAGTTGTGGGAGGCCACAGAGGACAGGCAATATCCTGATACACTGCCCACCCCCATAACTCCCTGACACACAGGACACCCCAAGAAGGGAAGCTAGAGTTGGGCAAAAGGATTGGGGTGGGGCAGGGGGGAGGCTGGAGGACAACTGTCCCTTCTTCCCACCCTTGTCACCAGGGCTGCTCAGAGGGCCTCGGTGGTTTACCTGGGTGCACAAGGGCACAAGCATATGACAGAGAGAGCGAGACCAGGGAAGGCGCTCTGCAGGCCAGAGGGAAAGCGAGACAGAGGAGTCAGGAGCAGGGGGGGGAGACGACCCATGTGTCACATAGAAGCAGTCCATGAGACCTCATGATCTCATGCCAATCGACCCAGATGGGTGGGGCAGAGAGAAGGTGGTTGGCGGGAGGAAACAAGAGGAAGGGAAGTGATGAGCCCGAGTGCTATGCGAGCTCAGACCTGTGGCCACGGGGGGCTGGAGCTGGTAGCCGGTGAGCTCACACCAGCCAACGGGGTAGATGTCCGGGGACTCGCAGTCCACCCACTGGTCATATTCGCTGTCCCAGCCGTCAAAGTGGATGCTGAGGAGACGATGCACCACCCGCTTCACGGTGGCCACGCAGATGAGCCGGGGCTCCATCAGGTCCACAGCCTCCAGCTTCATGCCCACCTTGAAGCCGTGGTTGGGGCAGTCCTGGGTTGGGGAGGAGGCAGTTGCCGAGCTGGCCAGCTCCTGGCCTAGCAAGCAGGCCTGGGCCCACGGGGCCCTGGCAGAATCGGGGGAGGGCTGCACTGACAAGTACTGCTGGGGAAGGTTCCTTTGGACACTGATCCCACTGTACTTCTTCCCCAGGCACGAGCCCCCATCCACGGAAACCGAGGAGCCACAGAGTGCCCATGCCATAGTTCAGGACTCCTCCCCTGAAGGGGCTGATCTCAGCAGTAGAGACTCAAGGGAAGAGAAGGGGCTGGAACTGCGCCCCTGACAGCAGCCAGCAGGGCCAGTCCTGAGGCTGCTCTCGGCCGCCCTGCTTCACCCTGTCCCCTCACCATGTTAAAGAGTCTTGATGGGGCTGCTCTTGACTTGGTCTTTTCCAAGTAGGCCTCCCAGTTGAAAGTCTGTGCCTCGTACCCTAGGAGAGCAGAATGGTCAGATGCTGACCAAGAGGAGAGAGTGGGAAGAGGATGGGGGGAAGGACTCGCTGCCAAGGGGCCACTGCAGCTTGGTCAGGACCTGGCCTGGAGTCCACCCAGCAGCCTCTTCCCTCATCCCCAGGCTGGTGCCTGCACCAGAACTGCAGTCCCTCGTGGGAGAAGTTGCTCACCGCTCACCAAGCCACACACCGACCAGGGGGCTGAGTCAGCCCCAGCAGCATAAGGCCAGTGGTAGCTCTGCATCACCTCTCAGAGAGACACTGGGAGTCTAAGCCCCAGGGGTCAGCTTGGCCAGAAGTCCGGGCCTGTGGCCTCACCCTTTCCCTTTCCACCACTGGGCCAGCACGCAGTGCCCCTCCACCTTACCTTTAGGGGGTATGAGCTCAATGTCATTCTTCTGGCAGAAGTTGGCTGGGAAGATGGCATGGGACGAGGCGTGGTAACAGAACCAGTCCAAGCCATCTGTGGAGAGCCCCCCATCCACACAGATCATCAGGTAGCCATCCAGGAGAACCTGCAGGGGCATGGGCAGACAGTGAACAGCCTATCATGAACTACACCCCCAGTCCAGGGCTGCAGTGGGGACACAATGGTGGGGACACAGATGCCTCCGCCTGAATCGAGGGCAAGAGCCTTCCCTGAGAACACCGAGCTGCTCCCTCAGAGCACTCAGCCCCTCTGTGACTATGCACTGGCGAGATTAGGTATCTTCCCACTAGGCAGCATGCACCGTGCCCGCGCCGTGTATCCCCAGTGGTGAGCACATAGCCCGGCGTGGAGAGAATCTGCTCGATGAACAAATGAGCAGCGCCCTCCGGGAGGGCCGGGAGTGGTCATTTGCTCTCAGGCTGCAGCAAACACGGAGGAGGTCTGAGCAGTCAGCCTGGCTGGGGCTCTCGGCTAGGCCAGCACTCAAAGGAGACAGTACGCCAGCAGGAAGGCCCTACTGGGGGGACAGAGCGGGGCATGTGACACAGGACCAGGCTCGAGCCAGGTGTTCAATAAGCACATGTTCAACATCCCCCAACCTGGTCTGAAAGCATTCTGAGCAATGAGGGGACAGATGCCCTCCTCATGAATGTCAGGTGCTCCAGCAGCAGCCAGTGCTGGGGAAGGCGAGACAGAAGCCTCCTGGGCCCCCAAAGTCTGCCTACAGTGGAGAGCAGGGCTCTGCTGCTGACTTACCCCTTGGAAGCCCTGCTGAGGTGGAGGGCCGGCCTGGGCTCACCTTGCAGATGGTTGCCACGCAGATATTGCCCAGATTCAAGGGGTCAATGGCCTCTAGCTTCATCCCTTCCTCAAACCAGCCACCTTCTGTATAGACAGCTCGTACCTTAAGAGAATGGGGCAGGTGAGGAATCACTGGGCAGGCCAAGGGGAAGGGCAGGGGCAGGAGGCCTGGTGTGCTGCAGGTCTGGGAAGTAGAAGGAGGGAAAAGAACAGCCCCAGGGAAGAGCCGGTGTTCTCAGGACTGCCGTCGGCCTGTGGCCAAGGGCGAAGTACCCAGGGGCTGGGCCTCACCTTCTTGAAGAGGTAAGGAACCGCATCACAGTAGATTTTCCGGAAGGTGGGATGGTGGGCCATGTCACTGCGTCTCTCTTTGGAGCGAACGGAATGGAGGAAAGAAGGGTGCTGAAGGCAGCTACCAGAGCCACCTCCACGCCTGCCCTGGGAATGAGGGGCTGCTTGGCGGTGCTCTAATCTGTACTGAAGCCCCTCCCACCTGTGGATAGCCAGTCCAGCCCAGGGAACATCAAGAGTAGGGACTATTCAGCCTTTGGGCCTGGCTGCCCTGGAGACCCAGACTCTCCCCATGTGATATGGGAGAGGGACGGGGTCTGTAGTTTTTACCGTTACAAGTTGGGTGACCTTGGCCAAGTCACTTAATCTCCCTGGGCCTCAGTATCCCCATCTACCTCACGGCACTGCTGGGAGGTAAAGAGAAGGCGCCCCTACCCAATCCTTGGAGGCAGAGCCTTGGGTCACTGGCCTAGGACTCTAACCTGACATCTTGATGCCATGGCCGACACGCCGTGACCAGCCCACTGGGTGAATCAGGGGGCTCCACATGTGGCACCAGAAATCATCGTCACTGTCACCATCCTCGTAAAGGAGTCGCAGGCGGCCCCCAATGACTGTGTCCACCACGGCCATGCGAGTACGTGACACCTGGGACTTGTCCACCACCTCCAGCCGCATGCCCTGCCTGAAGGGGTACTTCATGCTCTCTGCCATCTGAAAAGAACACACGCTGCTGGTCACGGGACCCCTCCTGCCTTTTGCAAGTCTCTGGAGGACAAGAATAGGCATGAGGGACCATCCCAAAGACTGTAGTGCAGGAGCGGGCAGTGAGCCCTCTCGTCCCCCGGTTCAAGCCTGGCCTCGTTCCCTGGAATGACACAGAGGGCAAAACAGCAGAACTCATAACATGGCCACCACTTTCCAGCACCAAAATGCCACTAAGTTGATTTGACGGGAATTACAAAATCCATTTCAGACTAGGGAAACTGAGGCGACTCCGAGAGGTCATGTGACTTGCCCACAGTCACAGACTCATGAGAACAGAGCTGGCATCCAGCCAGTCCCTAGTGTCCAGCCTTGAGCTGTTTCACAGGGCTCTGAACTCTGCCCCTGTGGGCACCTCACAGCCCCTGGGCCTCTCGGCTGCCTCTGTTGATGGCACACATGAAACTCATGTCTGCAGCCCCGTATGCCTCTGTCTATCTGATTCCAGCTTGGACCTGATGGGCCTTGGCTCTCAACTGCTGTCACGGCACCTCAGTAGCAATCCGGGCAGGACATGGGGGAAGAGCCAGAAGAGTCTTTTTTGTTTGCTTACTTCAGGGACTGGGCCTGGTGAGCTCTGGAGGGCTTTTCCAGGCCCAGCGCATTGCTGACTGAGAGGGCCAGTCCCCAGCCTGGGAACAGTGGTGAACAGGTTACTGTTTTGGCTTGAGCACACCAGGATGGGGAGCTCTCAGAGGTCACAAAGCAGCCGACAGGAAAAGCTGAGTCCTAAACCAGACAGAAAGAGCCCTGGTGGTGCAGTGGTTAAAAGCTCTGCTGCTATGTAAACCTTCACCTAAAGTACAAATAAAAAAAAAAAAGCTCTGCTGCTAACATAAAGGTTGGCAGTTTGAACATACAGCTGCTCCACAGGAGAAAAGACTTGGCAATCTGCTCCTGTAAAGATTTTAGCCTAGGAAACTCTATGAGGCAGTTCTACTCTGTCATGTGGGGTTGCTATTAGTTGGAATTGACTTGTTGGCACCCAACAACAAAGACAGACAGAGCCTTCAGCTGCAGCTCAAGGGCTGGAATACATCTTGACACCAGGGCCCTGTCCCTGTGTAACGGCACCTCACTTAAGAGATGCGGCACAGGGTGCAGCCTGGCCAGGGCTCCTCTAGGCCACCTCACCCTCCTAGCCCTTCCTGGACACATTCCCTTCCTCTGCGAGCCCCTACCCCGCAGTATACAACCCAACACCCCACAGTTGTGCATATTTGTTTATAGTTATACACCAGGACTAGAGCACTATACAGGCAGAAACTGGGTTTGATTCATTTCTACATCCTCAGCCCCAAGCACAGAACTAGGCAGAGTCAGTGCTTGGTAAATGCCTTGTTCCTGAAAAAAGAGCAAACAGGCACTAGCCCTGACCTTGGCTGACTGGTCAGTCCTTCATGCAAAACATTTTACTAAGCACTTACTATACAGCAGGTACCAAAGGGTGCTACCTCCACAACCCCACCCCCTTCATCCCTCTGCACCCCAAATTTTCAGAGGGGGCTGGCCAGTCAGACTTCATGCACTTCCATGGGCAAGGCCTCTCCTATTGAGGCTGTGGTTGCCATGTCAAAGCTTCAAGTCCCTTCTTCTCCCAGTGACCTCCCAAAGATCAGCTCCACAGAAACCCTGTCTGGAACACTTCCTGTCCCCATGATCTCACGGTGCCTTCCCATTCTCTGCCACATGCCATCTTCTTGCCCCAACAGGCTGGGCCGTCTTCTGCTTCTGTGTCCCCTCCAGTGTGCTCCGCAGGACTGGGTACATAACAGCTAGTCAGCACTAGCTGGCTGACTGGTTCATCCACCCAGAATGAAGCTCCTTTCCATTTAAGCAGAAAAAGACGCCTCATGGATACCTACCTAGTGGCCTGCACCACCCACTCTCATCTGCCTCCCCTAAGACAAGGGCCAGTTTAGAAAGAGTTAACGATCATCTTCAATCATTAAATTTATCAACTGTACAAGGCACTAAGAAAAAGCTTCCAATTTTGTTGGCGAGAGAATATGAAAAGACAATTAACAACATTTGTAGAGATAAATAGCAAGTAAGTGATACCCAATAAGTTCAAACAGGAGAAAAACCACTTCTAGTTTCGGGGGAGAAGCCAGGGAGTGCTTCCATGAGGTGTTCCAGACCATTCCATGCTGAAGAGCAGTTCTACACTAAGGTCCATGGTGTACAACCCATTCACCTGGCGTCTAGTGCCTTCGGTGATAGGCCCTAGTTTCCATTTTGTCCTTATTCCCCAATGGGGGCTTCCATACCATGCCTGCCCATCAAGGCTCCACTCAAATGCCATTTTCTCCATGAAGCCTTTGTTGATACCTGCCGGGCCTCTGAAGCCATAACACCAGGTTCGTGTGATTCCTGCCCAGGGCAGAGTATCACACACCTGTGCATCCCTGACTCAGGTGTGGCCCAGGGACCCAGGAGCACCCCACACCAGGCCTGCCACACAGAGGTGGGCAAGGAAACATTTCCATTGTCTGCCCTTTTAATTCCTTTGAATTGTTAGTATGTGCACATATGACTTTTTAAGTTAAAGAACGAAATGATTTTTAATGAAAATAAAATGCCACACAAATGATTTCAGACACACCTATGGTTCAGAACCAAGGCTGTTTTATAATTATTCACGTGCAGGCTTTCCTTCCTGTGCTATATGGAGGTTTCTGGATGGCAGGGTCTATATTCTTTGTATCTCCCACAGTGCCATACAATAAGTACTTATACAAACAGAGGCAGAAAGAGAGTCAGGAATGGGAGGAAATGGATATGTGGCTAATTGCCTCCATGAACAACTGTCTCCTTTGCCATGAGACCAAAAGAACTGGATGGTGCCCAGCTACCACATTTTGAACATTTTGATCAAAGACTCTACAGAAGAATCGTGACCAAAAGGGAGAAAATGCAGAACAGAATTTCAAAATCTCATGGAATCTAGACCTTCTGGAGCCACAGAGGCTGGAAGAACCTCTGAAACTACTGCTCTGAGATAATCTTTAAACCATAAACAAAAAATACCCTCTAAAGTCTTCTTAAAATCAAACAATAATTTAGCTTAACTAGTAAAGAATGTCTGCCTTGTGCATTCATCGAGCCTGCTCTTTTAAGATCTAAATGGGATCAAACTGACAACAGCAACTCAAAAGATTTGATAAGAAACTTAGGGGGACCAAAGGCACAAGGACAATACTAGTCCAAAGAACTACAGGGCCAGATGAGCCAGAGACTCCACCAGCCTGAGACCAGAAGAACTAGATGGTGCCCAACTACCACCAATGACCACCCTGACAGGGAACACAACAGAGTGTCCCAGACGTAGCAGGTGAAAAATGTAGAACAGAACTCAAATTCTAATAAAAAGACCAGCCTTAATGATCTGACAGAGACTGGAGGAACCCCCGAAACTATGGCTCCCAGATGCTCCGTTAACCCAGAACTGAAACCATTCCCAAAGCCCACACTTCAGACAAAGATTAGACAGGCCTATAAAACATAAAATAATATTCATGAAGAGTGTGTATCTTAGTTCAGGTAGATACACAAGACTAAACGGGCAGCTTCTGTCCAAAGGCAGGATGACAAGGCAGAAAGGGATAGGAGCTGGTTGAATGCACACAGGAAATGTGGGGTGGAAAGGGGGAGTGTGTGATCACATTGTGGGGATTGCAACCAATGTCACAAACAGTATGTGTATAAATTTTTGAATGAGAAATTAACTTGAGCTGTAAACTTTCACCTAAAGCACAGTAAAATTTTTAAAAAGTGGAAAAAAAAAAAAAGAAAGAAACTTAGGGGGCAGTGACTGCATGTTAATGGGGGAGGAACTACTCAGAAAAGGAGGGTGAGAATGGTTGCACAACTCAAAGAACGTAATCAACGTCACTGAATTATACATGTAGAAACTGTTGAACTGGGGTATGTTTTGCTATGTACATTCTCAACAACAAAAATAAATAAATCATATACATTAAAAGAAATACATACTACACAATAAGTACTTAATAAAATCCACTGAACTAACACTGCTAAATAATGCTATAAGCAAAGGCAAGGATCTGGGAGAGCATAAAGCAGACACTGCAACGTGATCGATGTGGCTGGAAGGGGAGGAGTCTGACATGAGGCTGGAATAGCAGATGGCAACCAGACGGTGGCAGAGTTTGATTCATCTTGGGACATGTGAAGGCACTGAAGATTGTCCCACAAGGGAGTCTTAGGAAAAAAAAAATTACTCCAATTAGTAGCATGAAGAATGGATTCAAACAGCAGAGGGAAGTGGAATTTAGACAGAGAGCTTACATTTTTCACAAAAAATTAACTCAAAATGGATCACAGACCTAAATGTAATATGCAAAACCATATAACTTCTAGAAGATTACACAGGGGAAAATCTAGGTGATCTTGGGTTTGGTGATGACTTTTTAGATACAACACCAAAAGCACACTCCATAAAAGAAAAAACTGATGAGTTAGACTTCCTTAAAATTAAAAACGTCTGTTACGCAAAAGACACTACTAACAGAATGAAAAGACAACCACAGACTGAGAGAAAATATATGCAAAATAATATCAGATAAACGACTTGTATCCAAGCTATACAAAGAACTTTTAAAACTCAAAAAGAAAACAAACAACTAAACGACACAATGGGCAAACAGAAACTTCATCAAAGAAGATACAAGTATAGCAAATAAGCACATGAAAAAATGCTCAGCATCCTATGTCATTAGGGAACTGCAAACAGAAACAATAATAATACCACTACACACTTATTAGAATGACTAAAATCCAAAACACAGGACAACAGGAATTCTCATTCATTTCTGGGGGGAATGCAAAATAATACAGCCACTTTGGAAGACAGTCTGGCAGTTTCTTACAAATCTAAACATAAGCCGACTATGCTATCCTGCAGTCGTGCTTCCAGGTATTTATCTAAATGAGATGGAAACGTATACCCACATAAAAACCTGCACATCAATGTTTACAGCAGCTTTATTCATAATTGCCAAAAACTGGAAGGAACCAAGATGTCCTTCAATAGATGAAAGGATAAACAAACTGTGGTACATCTAAATAAAAACCAAAAAACATCAAACGCATTGCCATCAAGTAGATTCCAACTCACAGTGACCCTATAGGCCAGAGTAGAACTGCCTACAGGGTTTCCAAGGAGCGGCTGGTGGATTTGAACTTTTGTTTATCACCAAGTTCTTAACCACTGTGCCTCCAGGGCTCCGAGGCTCCGTGGTAAATTCATATAATTAGTGATTACTCAGTGATAAAAAGAAATGAGCAATCAAACCACAAAAAGACATGGAGGAACCTTAAATGCATACTGGTAAGTGAAAGGAGCCAGTCTGAAAAAGCTTCATATTATGAGATTCTAACTATATGCCATTCTGGAGAAAGCAAAACTACAGTGAAGAGATCAGTGGCTGCCAATGGGAGGGATGAAGAGGTGGAGCACAGGGCATTTTTAGGGCAATGAAACCATTCTGTACGCTACTGTAGTGGTGGACACATGACATTAAGCATTTGTCAGAACCCACAGACTATACAACACAAAGAGTAAACCCTATGAACCTGAGTTAAAAATCATATGTCAATACTGGTTCATCAATTGTAACTAACGTACCACAGGAATCCAAGATGTTAACAGGAGAAACGATGAGCAGGGGGCAGTGGGGCATATAAGAACCCTGTACTTTCTGCGCAATTTTTTTGTAAAAGTAATCGAACGCCAAACCTGTTGCTATCGAGTCAATCCACTCATGGCAACCCCATGTGCTACAGAGTAGAACTGTTCCATAGGGTTTTCTTGGCCGTAATCTTTAAAATTGTCTGAAAAATAAAGTCTATTAAAAAAAAAAAGCAGAGGGGCAAGAAGGAGCCCAGTTAGGAGACCCACAGTGCTCACTGCCTGACCTTGATATGGAAATCCACAGGGAGGGTCCTGGAGCCCACCAACCGTTTCATGAGGTAGCCCTTCCAGTCAGTGAACTTGGCATGTATGGCTGTGGAGACAGAAGCGGAATCCTGGTTACAGACTAACAATACTCCCACTAACAGGGGGCCAGAGCAAACCCATCAGGAAAGAGGACTGAACAACCTATTTCTGCCTCTTCAGGCCAGCAGACTACCTCCACTTATAAAGCTGGACTCCACGACTTGGATCTGCCACGGGGTCTCTGGGCAGGAAAAGGCACAAAGCAAGCAGTCAAGCAGGTTTTCTTCTGGTCTAACGTTAAGACAGACAGCCCCTTTTACAAAAGGCCCTATGGGAACCAGGACAGGGAGTGGTCTCATCAACTCACTCCGTGGGGGCACCAGGATCTTGCTGTTGATGGCACACCAGCCAATGGGGTGGACATCCACGGTTCCCAGGTTGCACCAGAAGTCATGGCTGGCGTCATTTTCAAAGCCTTCATACCGGAGCAGCACCCGATACCCTGAAAGGAAGGAAAAGGGCGCCAGTGCGGGCAGTTGGGATGGGGAACGGCATACTCTTAGGCCCTCCCTCTTCTCTAGCCTACACTGGACTCTCCGTCACCCATTCCAAGAACTCCTTCCAGGCAACTGGGTCCCTGTGCTCCACAACAGTCACAGCCAAAACAAAGCCATGCCACTTATTTGAAAAGCATTATGGCATAGTGATGAGAATCAGCTGTCAAAAGCCTGAGCACCCCTGGAATAAACTTTAAAAAGGGGACTTTCCAAGCTTGTCAAGCCTTCTTCCCTGCCAGAGGTAGGAGAATCCCAAGAAAGGGGGCAGAAACTCCAGTGGGTGTTTTGTTTTAAGCCGATTTCTGCCTACCCCAGTGCCCACCCCTGCCTAGAGGCGTTACCTTGGAGACGCGCCCCCGACCCTGCCCTGGCCAGAGGTGCTCACCTGCTGTCTGGATGACAGAGGCGATCCAGTACACCCGGCTGGGGAGCACCGCGTCGCTGTTGAGCACCTCCACCTTCATCCCCTTCATCACATCCTCCCACTGGTCATACAGCGGGACCTGTGGGGGATGAGAGGTTCACAGCTGGGGAGCTACCTGGTGAGTCATGGCTTCCTCTGCCTGTGCACCCTACCTTTTCATATCACCCAGGGGTGCTGGTTAGGGGCTGGGGTCAGACAGCCCTGAGTTATGATCTTTACAGGACGAGTGTGAACCTGGGCAAATTACAACGTCGGTGAGGCTCAATCCCTTCATTGCCTGTGTAATTATAATAGCAACACCACCTAAAACTTCCAAGTGCTTACCATGTGCCAGGCACTGCCCTTGGCACAAACATCTCTCCTCTAATCTTCACACCTGTGCGGTAAGCATTATTGCCCCCTCACTTTACAGTTGTCACCAAGCCACCCTTCACAGCACTCTCTGCCCACACATTATTCCTGGCACGCTCTTTCTCCACCTCTGTTAAAATGCCACCTGACCCGGCAGTGGGCTCTTTAGGGGTTGCCTTCCCAATATTTAATCCCCACTTTGTTGCCAACGATACCTGGATTCTCCTTTGCGGAATTCACCTTCCTGTCGCGCTCAGCCCTGGCTTAAGTCAGTCAGGTATCCTATCCCATCCCCCTGGCAATAGAGATTGGTTCACCATAGAACCTAGAACTGGTCTCACCATGGCAAGTACATGGAACTGGGTTCTTTGCGGAAGACACTGAATCTTATGTGTTAAACACAGTATGACATAACTCCCCAGAATGAGAATGCCGGTACCCCTAGGAATTCAGGGCCAAAAAGGTTTCCCACTAGGAAAGTTGTGTACCTACGTTAGCAACTCAAAGAAGAGCAAGCAGGATAAGAGCTGTTAAGCACCAGATCTCCCTGAGCTCAGTACCAGTTCAGAAAGGAGAGGCTAGGGCAGTACCAGTTCAGAAAGGAGAGGCTAGGGCAGTACCAGTTCAGAAAGGAGAGGCTAGGGGCTGGCGTCCTCAGTTCACAGGCCTCGCCCTGGACTTCCTGGGGTTTAGGAAACTGGCTTCAAAGACTAAGCAAGAGTGCTGCTATCGCAGGGTCCAGCTGCTAGATAGTAAGTCCTTCCACTCCAAGCCCAGCCCCTCCAGGGCCTCACCCTTTGGTGTTTCTCAATGCTAGGGGCTCAGGGAGGCCTTTGCAGAAGTAGGCTCCAGAAGGTATCTTCATGTGCCTGTCAGGGGCCACGGGGTCCAGCCAGTACAGAAGTCCCAGGCTTTCAGAGAAAATACTCAAAATGGGGGAAAGGAGGTAAAAGAGGACTTCTGAGTGGGAAGGACCCTTAGAGATCAACTAGTATAAAGTTCCATGATGCAAATAAGCAAAGGACGGCCTCGGAGAAGCAGCAGAAAGCCCTTGATAAGTGTTTGCTTTGCGGAAGGACTTTCTGAAAAAGTGGGCCATACAGGTCAAATGGAGCTGGTGGCAAAGCTTGGGCTTCTCCACCTAGACCGCCTGCTGCGCAGCTTGGAGCTGCCTCCTAAAGAGGGTGGGTGAGCTGAAGGAGAGGACCAGAACCAGCAGCTCCCGCCCAGGTTCCCTTGGCGCTCCCACCCCTCACCTCCAGGGACTCACGTGTTTAAAGCAGCTCACGGGAGCAGCCTTGTAACTGTGATCCTTCAGGAACTTCCCCCAGTCGAAACCTAAGACCAGCGCTGCACAGCAGGGAGAAGAGAGCGGAGGGTGGGGCTGTGGCAGCCACTCCAGGAGCCGAGGCTCCTGTAAGGCTTGCAAAAGCAGTTCCCTGCCCCACCCCGGCAGCTTGCTCATCTTGAGTCCACAGTGAGGCTGCGCTCCCAGCAGCCCCTTGCAGCTCCCGTACCTGCCCCACCAGTGGCCATCGGGACCAGTGAGCACTGAATCTAAATGCTGCCGGATGCCAACACGGAGGAAACATTCAGACAGAAGTTGCTCACCCCTCTTGCAAGGAAAGAGGGAAACTCAAAGCCCCTTGGTCTTAAAATTCCTCAGCCCTCCCCTGACCTCTCACTGGCCACACCCAGTCTAACCCGGTGGGCGGGGCTCAATTCCATCAGAAACACAGACCAGTGTGAGGGCAGAAATGCTTCAGGCCTACACTTAATTGGCTTAGAAACTGATACACACAAGCTCAGAAAGAGATCTCATTTCTTTCCCACCCCCTCTCTCCTCATCCCCTTCTCAAACCACATCTGGGCCTCCACTGCCCCAGGGCACTAAAAGTCACAGGCCTAGAAGCAAAGAGAAACAAAAGATGCAATTCTGGGCTTTTGAATCAACTGAAGGGGCCCTGGCAATTTAAGGGTGATTAAAGGGGCCTTCTGGGGTAATTTCCCCAATCCCCACTAGGCGAGGAAGCTGCGATCCACACCAGGCTAAGTCAGGAAACTTTCTAGACCTTACGCTGGCCACGGTTTCCATTCGTCATTCCTCAGGAAGGCCAGCCCAGTCCTGCCCCCCACCCCCGCAGCTTCCTGAGCACCGTCCTCTGCTGTCTCACCGTCTTGTCCAGTTGGTGTCCCATCTGCTAGTTGTCCCGTCCCTTGGGAGTGGAGGAAGGCTCCAATCTTGGCCGACCAAGCAGCTTTGTGTAGGACTTTGGCTTTCTTGGTGGGTGGTTTTCCCTGGAGGAAGAAAGGACGTGTACAACCTAGTGGTAGAGAACATGGCTCTGCGTATGGCCTACCTAGGTTTAAAATCCTGGCCTTGCTCAAGTTACTTAACCTCTTTGAGGCTTCAGTTTCTTCATTTGTAAACTAAACAAAAAAAAAAAAACAAACTTGTTGCCGTCAAGTCAGTTCCGACTCACAGCAACCCTACAGGACGGAGCAGAAACGCCCCATAGGGTTTCCAAGGAGCGACTGGTGGATTCAAACTGCCGCCCTTTTGGTTAGCAACCAAGCTCTTAACCACTGCACCACCAGGGCTCCACACATTTGTAAACTAGGATGATGAAAATAACAATGCTTAGCTTAGAGAGTGGTTACTGAAATTTAACTATGCAGTAAATGTTTAGCTATTGTTCAATGGGGTCTGTGGAGCAGCAGAGCAGAGAGGCCATCTTGCATCTGTTAAGCCTTCTCTTACTCCCAGCTCTCAAGTGGCTTCAACTCTCATTATCACCTTCGGCCAGTGCACCTACAGATCCAGGCAGAGAATGGGCTTCAGAGGGATCCGTGAACTCCCTCAACTGGCAGGCAACGTTTTGTACATACAGGAATCTTCTGGAGATGGGGTCCATAGCTTGCACCAGATGCTCAAAGAGGTCTGCTCCCAAAGTGGAGAGCCTCTGATCTGGTCTGCACCTTATCATTTAAGCACTAATCAGAAAGGTCAGGGAATTTATTAAAGAGATTGTTGTTGGGTGCTACCAAGTCGATTCTGACTCACAGAGACCCCATGTGACAGAGTAGAACTGTAATCTTTACAGAAGCAGTTCGCCAGCTCTTTCTCCCATAAAGCTGCTTGGTGGGTATGAACTGCTAGCCTTTCAGTTAGCAGCTGAGTGCTTAACTGTTATACCACCAGATATGCTGTTGTGTGCCATCGAGTCCATTCCAACTCATAGCAACCCCGTAGGACAGAGGAGAACTGTCCTGTAGGGTTTCCAAGGCTGTAATCTTTTACAGGAGCAGATTGTCAGGTTTTTTCTCCTGTGGAGTCACTGGTGGGTTCAAACTGCTGACCTTTTGGTTAGCAACCAAGCGCTAACCATTGTGTCACCAGGTCTCCTACCACCAGAATACAAAAAAAACCCAAAACCAAACCCGTCGCCCTTGAATTGACTCCAACTCATAGTGACCCTATAGACTAGCACAACAGAAATACAGGCTTAAGTCCCAGAGGGACCTGGGTCAAAACCTGGCTTGAAACTTTTAGTTGTGTATCCTTTAGCAAGTGACTAGAATTGCTGAGCCTTTACAATGGAAATCTTTTAAAAACAATCTATTATGGAGATCATTTGATGGACTGAATGCGAGTGCCAGGCTCTTAGCAAGTATCCCAAAATGTAGCTACTATCATTATTAGCTCTCTGAGGACACTGTAGACTATTATCCTTTTTCCTATGTCTTGCAAAAATCTGCAAAATGAGGACAAGAGGAATTGTCTCACAAAAGTTATCTCACAAGTGAGATAGTGTGTGAGGGGCTAAGCAGCAGACGTGGCACACAGCAATTTCCTATAAATGTTACATCAGTGGTTCTCAAGTGCCACTGTACATCAGACTCCCCTGGGGGGCTCTTTAGACTCCCTATGCCCAGGCCACACTCCATCTCAACTAAATCAGAACCTTTGGGAGTAGGACCCAAGCATCAATATTTTTTAAACTTTCCAGGTGATTGCACCATGAGAACCAGCGTTGTAGATGTTTGCCATGGTGACCACGAAACAACACAGGGCTAGGCACCGGAAACGTGGGCTCCAGCCTGTTCTGCTGTTCTGTGCCCACAGAGCCACCCTGGGTAAGTTGTTCTACCTCTGTGGACCTCAGTGCCCTTATCAATAAATGCATAGGTTAGAAATTGGCAAGTGCTGTGTTATATATATTTTTTATAACAATAACAACATGGATAAAAAATAAATGTGCGGCTTACACATTTCTCTAAGAATCCTTCCATCTCTAAGAGTTCTATCAAGGTCAATAATTAATTAAAGACTGGTAAGAATTTCTAGGTGCCTTCCTAAACCCACCGAGGCTGAAGAACCTCGTGCTTGCTTCCAGCTTCCTTTCAGAGTATTGACAGAAGTGTGGGGCAAAGGCTGAGGACATCAGACTCCCCCAGGGTGCTTGACTACAACCTAATGAACACATCAGACTTGGGGAGGGGTTGGGGAGGTGGAGGTGAGGGTAAAGGACAGAGGGTAGCTCTAGGAATCAACATTTAAACAAGCCCCATAAATGGATTCCTCTGTCCTCTAAAGTTTGGACGTACTAGGAAGCTTCCAACCTCAGATAGCCACAAGCAAGGTCCTTACCAAGCCCCTTTTGGCCCTCTGCCTTCAGTAAGTTCACTGTTCCTGTCTCAGCCCCTCCCCTCCACGCCAGGAAGTGTCTCCCAAGTGACTGCCTCTCACCTGTAATCTAGCCAAGATACTGGCTTTCTTGGAGTTGGAGGAGTAGCTCCTGGAGCAGGAGACGCTGCAGAACCTCTTGGTCTTGGAGAAGAAGGCTTCTCTTGTGCCCACAATACCACACATCTCACAGACAGCTGGAAGAAAACTTAGCACGTGACTCACCCAATATGGTTGCCTCAAATCACACAAAATAATGGGCCTTTCAAACCCAGGGCATCACATTAACCAGGTGAGCCCCAGCCCCCACTGAGACGGACGGAAGTGGAATACAAGGAGGCGGTTCTGGTGTGTGCATCTGAATCTATTTTGCCCAAGATAAGCTGCTTGGCACCCCTTGGCTATGTGTGTCAACAGGAAGGCTGAGGAAAACTATGAGGACCACTAGGGAAATAGGAGAATGGTGGAAAGTTTGCAAGAGATGAAAACATGAAGAAAAAGAAATGGAGAGAAAGGTCCAAAGTCACTTAACCTCTGTGGGTCTATTTTCTCATCGATAAATTAAGGAGACTGAACCAAAGCAGTGTTCTCAACCCTGACCTCACGTTAGAATTACCTGCGGAGCTTTTGAAAACGCCCAAGCCAGAGGTTTTAATTAACTGGTCTGTGGTGGGAACTTGCACCTGTATTTTGTTAAAAGCTCAGATGATTCTGATGTGCAGCCAGAATCACCTGGACTAGACGGTCTCTAATGGTTCCTCCTAGTTCTAAAGTTCTAAGATTCCAAGAAAAGGGTTGAAATAAGACAGAGGGGAGAAAGATAAAAGGGGAGAGAGGAAGAAACGGCAAGAAGAATAAAAAAAAAATTAAATTCAACTGGCAAAGAGAACCCTTCTGAAGTTTGGGTACCAAGGAATGGGAGTGTTGTCACAGACCATCTCGCCTGCCCCTTTTCACAGGCAGCCCCACACAGGAGGCTCTGGCACAGGCATTCAACAGCTGCCCAAGCATCACAACTGGCTTCCAGCTGATCGGTGGGGATTCTTCTCTGTGCCCTCCACTCCCACCCCGCGCCAATCCTCTCATCCAGAAGTCACTTTATTCTGCATTCCCCTCCCCCTCACTTCCTACTCACAGGCTATTTCTTGTCCCTTCCCAGAGCATAATCTGAACACTTCAGGTCTCCTACCTACTCAACATCCAGACTTAGAAATCCACCAGCTATTCACAAAAATTATTGTCAAAGCAGCACCATATTGATGGCTGGCACCTAATATATGCTGAGTAAATATTAGTTGTATGAAAGGATGAAAGAAACCACAGCTTGAAATCAGACTGCAGCAGAGGACATGGCCCTTGTGGCTACTCAAGGTGCTTCTGTCTCTCTCACGGCTCCTTAGACATCCAATCCCTTGACATCAGATGAAAGAGCCCACATGGCCTGCAGCCACCTCTTCCTCCAGGACCTCCTGACTCCTCCTCATCTCCAGGGCACACTCTGAACGCACCTGGTTCAGAACCACTGCCATCCAAAGAGCGGGGAGTCCCGGGGCTGAGCAAATGCAGTGGGGAGGTGGGCAGCTCCCCAGCTTCCCGATCCTCATTTTCTGCTTCACTTGACTCCTCCAGGTAGGAGCTGCTCTCACTGCCCACACTACTGTTGTAAGCCCGGAAACTGTCATAGCCACCAAAGAGCTCCAAGTCATCTTCCTCTTCTTCCTCCATTGGTTCTGAAGATGGAGTCTCCTAATGGAAGAATGACACAAACCAGTTAGGAGGAATCCAAGCTGGATTAGTGCATGGGGAGGGAGGCTGTAGATTTGTTATCAGCCCCTTCCCAGATCTTTGTCAAATCAACACTTTTGGACACCTTTCTGCACACACCAGGATCATTATCCCTGTATGTACAACATTTCTCCATCACAACTCAACAGAAGAGCTTTATAAAAACCAAAAAAACCAAACCCATTACCGTCGAGTCGATTCTGACTCATAGTGACCCTACAGGACAGAGTAGAACTGCTGCATAGGACTTCCGAGGCTGTAATCTGTACAGAAGCAGACTGCCACATCTTTCTCCTGAGGAGTGGCTGGTGGGTTTGAACTGCCAACCTTTTGGTTAGCAGCCGAGTGCTCAACCATTTCACCTCCAGGGCTCCTATGAAGAGTTTTATAGGATAGAAAATACATGTTAGGAATTCACCAAGTTCCTTCTGTGAATTTACAAATGATGATATTTTAACAGGGTTCAAATAGAAAACAACATTATGAAAATATCCTCTGGAAGATGCCTCATGAAGACTATGGGATAGAAGGTATATGTGCGAAACTCATTCTTCCCCTTCAGCATACGTACACCAAAAGAATCTCAACTTGAATACAGTTTAAGTCAGGGGAGAGCAATTAGCTTGGGACCCAGACTGTACCAAGGAGGATTTAGGAGGCAGATGACACACAGATGGCTATGGCATAGTGGTATGTACCACAGTTTTGGATTTAGCTCTGATCCTAACTAGCTGTGAGTCCTTGGGCAAGTCACTTAATCTCTCTGAGCCTCAGTTTTCTCAACTATAAAATAAGAAAAATATTTGGCTCACAGGAGTTTCTGAGAGGTAAATGAGATACTGTAGGTGGATCTACTTAGCATCTAGTAGAAAAGGTGTAGCAAGGTGAAGAGTTTGGGCTCTGAGCCAGGCTCAATACCATCTCTACTGCTTACTAAAGGAGCCCTGGTGGCGCAGTGATTAAGCACCCAGCTGCTAACCAAAAGGCTGGCGGTTCAAAACCCACTAGGGGCTCTAGGGGAAAAAAGACCTGGTGATCCCCTCCGGTAAAGATTACAGCCTAGGAAACTGTACGGGGCAGTTCTACTCTATAATATATAGGGTCAGTGAGTCAGAATTGACTCGACAGCACACAATCAACAGTAACAACACCACTGCTTACTACTCATACGACCTGCAGCAAGTCAGTCTCTCAGTTTCAGGGTCTGTTAAATGAGGATAATACAACCTATTTCATAAGATTTGGGGGAGAAGAGTTAATAATACAGGTAAAGCACTAATGGTGACCTGCACATAGCACTCAATAAATGTTGGCAACTATCATTACTGGTTATCTTAAAAAATATTTTGACAAGGTTAATTTTATAGAGCTTACCTGGTTTCAAAAAGATCCTTTGTAACTCCAGCAAGTCTGGAGAATAAAATACAAACTGAACAGTTAAAAGTATGGGCTCTCAAATGAGAATTTGCCTGGGTGTTCTGGCTCTGCCAATTATTAAATGTGATTTTGTGCAAGCTATTTCACCTTGCTACCCTCAGTTTTGGAGGCGTGGTAGTGCAGTGATTAAGAGCTACGGCTGCTCCTAACCAAAAGGCCGGCAGTTAGAATCCACCAACCGCTCCTTGGAAACCCTTTGGAGCAGTTCTACTCTGTCCTATAAGGTTGCTATGAGTCAGAATCTACTTAGCAACAGGTAAGGGTACCCTCAGTTTCTTCATCAGTACAAGAGAGATAATAACAAGCCTTCTTTAGAGGGCTGTTGTCAGGATGAGATAAAATATGTAAAATCTAGTTCTGTTTCCAGCAGTAAAAGAACTAGTGTGAGCTATTATTATTATTCTCCACTTCAGTACCTTTACAGTAGAGTTTTTGAGCTATTCTACTTAGAATTAGCAACTACGTGTGCAAATGTGGAAAAAGAAAACTGAATTCAAATGTAGGGTGCTCAGAAGCCAAATGATTAAAGGGTGGGTGGGTTACAGGTTGTAGGAGAGTGGAAAAAGCATAACAGATAGGCTTTGCGAGCCTGACAGACTTCATGCCCACTTCCTTCACTGACCAGCTGTGTGACCTTCCTTGGGGAGTAGCACCGCCTCTCTAAGCCCCAGATGCTTTAACCTTGAGAACGACACAATAACACAGGATTGTTGCGAGTATAAGGGGAGATAATGCACGTGACTGCTCCAGGCATGGAGTAAGTGTTCACTAAACTTTTCACTTCACTTCACACTAGGATGTGACAAGCCTCGCAATCCCTAAACACCACAACCACGACCACGAGACGAAGAGGACGAAGAAGATTCAGGAGAGCTCAGATCCTGGGTCCAACGTCCCTTCTCCAAGGCCAGGAAGGCTGCTCCTTTCTCAACCACTCGCCCGACGTCCAGCCCAGCCGTGGAGGAGCAAAAGGCAAGGCCAATCGCTCGTGGCCCTGGCTCAGCCCAACTGAGCCCATCCTTCCGACCTCCACCCTCAAGGCGTCGCCAAAAAGCCTAAAGAAGGGTTCACCAGGCAAGCAGGCGCTCGGGGTTTCTGTGCCCATTCGCGCTAAGCCCTCTCCCTCTCACCTCGATGCCCCGGGGTTTCTCCATGAGACCTAACACCGTTTCTTCAACCGTCACCAGGTGTAAGAAGCCATATTGGCCTCGCCGCTCTTCCCGAGCCCACTCATTGGCCGCCTCCCTGAGCAGCGGACCAATCATGCTGCAGGAAAGCGGAAAAGCCGGTTCCGTGCTCGCTCGCGCCCGTCCTCCTCTGCGGGCGGGGAGGCCGCGGGTGGTTGTGGGACTTATAGTTCCTCTGCTGGTTGCGCGTGTAGCGGCGTTGCCATAGTGACGTGAAATTCACCTGGCATTGGCTTCGAGGTGACCAGCACATACTGTTTTCGTTCCAAGCCAGTCTCTTTCCCCAACCCTGGCCCTGTTCTTCATTAAACAGTTATTGAGCACCTACATGGGCACTGTGCCAGGGGCGGAGGATAACCCTGTTGGACCTCGCAGTCTTTCCAGAGAGAAATGTAAAGTACTCTTGGGCCGGGATGCCTAGCAGCCGAACTCTTTTCCAATTCAGGCAGAAACTGGAATACTTTCATGCTCAATGCCATAAATATTCCGCATGCTCAAATTCCTGCAACATTCCTCTTTCGCCAACGTTTCCCGAATAAAACCTGAGGCTCGCGGCCTCATCCCATTCGTATTTCCCACAACCTCCCTTACACAACCTGAGTTCTAGGCGTTGCTGTGGCACCTTAAGAACATTAGCTTCCCAATCCCGTAGGCTTCCAATCACCGTTTTAAAGATGAGGAGACGAAGGCTCTTCAGATGTAGATACTTTCCGCGATTACACAGAATTGGAATTTAAGATTTACTACAAAGTCCTTCCCTATCCTATGTTGTAAGGAGCCCTGATGGCGCAGTCGTTAAGAGTCGGCCGCTAACCAGAAAGGTGGCAAGTTGGAGATTCAAACCCACCAGCTACTCTGCAGGAAGAAAGATGTGGCAGATATTGTTTCTGTAAAGATTACAGCGTTGGAAACCCGTTGGGGCAATTCTACTCTGTCCTATAGGGTCTATAGGAGTCGGAATCAACTCAACGGCAACAGGTTTGGGTTTGGAATGCTATGTTGTGTCCCTATGAATTAATGAACTGAGAATCTTAATGTAATAAGTGGAGGTTGAGTATATGTAAAATGTATGTAAAACAACAACAACAATTTAACTCTATTCTACACACTGTGTAAAAGGTAAAGTGGTCTTTTTAAAAAATAAAGTTATACTTTTCACTAAAAAAATTAAAAAATGTTCTAGGGTAAAAACATCACAAAGTTTAGTAAAGCAAAAGGAAAAGTTTTATTCGGCATATATTCAAAGAGGCAAAAGCGGGAAACGGACAAGCATGCTTCCAGAGCTAATGTGTGCCGGAGTCCAAGGAATATTACAGAATAAGCAAAATGGGGAAGCAGACGAGCATGCTTCTGGAGCCATGACTGCCTGAGTCCAAGGAATGTTACAGAGTTATCAGTATATATTAACATTACAAATGGGCAAAACCATTGAAAGCTTCACCTTTTCACAGATTGGCTAAAAACTGCCAAATCACCATGATTCTACATTTTGAATTGTCTTTCTTAATAATCATTGATACGGGTTTCAGTAACCACAGTCAGGAGGGTCCTCATTGCTCCAAGAAGTCTTACTATTTACTAAATGCTAATAGAAAAAGATAAGAGTGGAAAGTATGCGGGTTTTTTGTGCACTGTTTATGATTTGTTTGTGGGAAAAGTTCCCTAAAAGATGTTTTCCAAGATCATCCTTTATACCTCAGGGCCCAGTTGATGTGTCCTTGTGAGTCCAGCTCCAGGTGGGTCACATTTTAGGACAGGGAATAAGGGCTCCAATATTATCTCCTAAATGATTCCCTCCTTTTGATCAGAGTTTGGGGATAACGCATTGATCAATACTTGGACTTAGGCTACTAGATGGTGGCCATGGCAGCCTGTTTAAACTCACGGCGCTGGTTTTCCACTGGATACCATTTGGTTCTTCACCAGGATATTAAGTAAGAACAACGTTCTCATCAATCGCCTTGCTGAAATGAGCAGACTCAATGTACATCAACATTTCAGCCCAAGGTCTTCTTTTGCCTTTTAGATGTGTAAGACAATAGAAGATAAATTTTATCCTGCTTAATACTATCAGGATTAAGAATAAGAATATATAACATAGTAAGAATATTACTGTTCCTTGCAGTAGTGATCTAACCCATGTACTTACCCCTGATGGTAACCAACCAAGTAAATCTGGTGTTTGTAAGGGTGTCACAGTGCATAACCAAGTAGCTTGCTGTCCAATTCTGTGTATCTCCTGTTCTATTTCTGTGTTATTTCTCCAAATGCAACAAGAGGTATTTGCTACAGCACAGACTATGCTTTCTTGGACTAATAAAAACTCTAAGGCTATTCTGTTATCTCACGTCACCTTGGCTTAATGAGGTCAGAGATCACTATTGTGCTTCCATCCCACTTGGCAACTTTGACTGCCATTTGTCCTATAGTAATTGATAAACTTCCTAAAGATTTCTCCAATTCAACTATACCATAAATAGGAATTAAAGCTACCAACCCTATCCTGAGTGTTGAACCAATGGATTTTCTTATAACTTTCGTTTTACAATGTGTAACAATTTAACATTACCGTTCCAATATTTACTAGCATCATTACTATGAATATCTAAAGGTAAGCCTAAAATTCCCAAAGTGCATTGCCCACACATTCACCAGGAATCTAAACAAGAGATTGCCCACATAAATTCACCATCAGTTTGGAAAGGATCATCTAAACTAATATAGTTGGATCCACTGCACAAAAACATGTATCCATAAGGAGCACACAAAGTTTGTCTAGAGAAAACAGAAGGTATAGAAAAATTTACATGTGACAACCAAGTTTCCATTAGAGAACACATGATTAGCAAGATAATACAGGGTGGACCTCTCCTGTTGGGGGTCTCCAGTTAATCTACTTAAAACATACTAAGTGTTCTTCCTAAAGGCAAGCTGCCCCTCCTTGGTTTACTTATTAACAGGCACAGGTTACTTTCTCAGAAGCAGAAGACAAAATGGAGTCTGAGCCATGAGGTTGATCTCCTCTAAGAACTTGGTTTCTTTAAGATACATAAATTTTTACATGGCAAGGAGGTGACAGATTAAAAACATTAGACAGGTATTTCATACAATATTGTCTTAAAGACTAATTAAACTAATTACTGATTTACCCTAAATAGCTCTCAGTCTAATCTTTGGAGTCAGTTTCCCAAAACAGACTGAATTCTTCAAAAAAACAGCACAATGCCCAGAGCAAAAGGGTCTTACTACTTTATCTGGACCTTTGTTTGACTCTAAGTGGCTTCAGGAATCAGTTTTTCTTTTTTGTCCCCTCAAAGTTCGAGGTTCAAAAGGACACTCAAAGACAGTGGCCTGTATGGGTTATCTCAACCTCCATGAAAGCCAGAAATCTGGATTCCAGGAGAATTACAACTCTTTCATTAGAAATCAAGGATGACTTTCACATCTATATTCCTCAAATTTAGGAATATATATTTGTGGATATTCAGTTTTATATATACTATTGTGATGTCTTTTCCTGGTTTACGTATCAAGGTTATGCTAGCTTCATAGAGTTCAGGAGTATTCCTTCCTCTTCTATGTCTTTGAAGAGATTGAGTAGGATTGGTGTCAACTCTTCTCT